TCAGTACTTCATCCCCCCATCCAAAAAGAATAACAAAAATTGTTTTGCACAGGAAACTTATGAGCAAAAACGTGACATTACTGGTGCTTTGAGTGGATTTGTAGGGTTGTAGAGGTTCTAGAGCAGGCTGGCCTATAGCAAGAGTGGCTGCAGGAGTTCAGATAATTGAATGAAGGTCTGAGCTAGAGCAGTGCCTATAACAATTGAAATAAGGGACTGAATAGAAGCATTGCAAACATAAAAATCAACAGAATGTCCAAAATAAGGGAGGTGGTGTTACTAAGGGTAACAATGGTTTCAGTAATGGAAATAAGTTTACAGGTGCTGCTGTTTTTGATAATAGGGAATACATGCAATTGAGTTTTGAAATTTTGGAGTGCCTACTGGATATCCTAGTAGAGACATTCATCAAGTATTGAAAGTGTAGAGGTGAAATTCAGAGAGATAATTAAGCTAGAGGGAGATATGGGAGGTGCTTTGGGACTGTGGGCCTGAATGAAAGAAGACTGGGTACAGAGAGTTGACCTGTTCTTGTCTAAGATATGAGAAGAAGAAGAAAGAGCCAGAGAAATCAGTGGATGTATAGAATGGTTCTTTATGGATATGAAATGAAAATAAAGTTCAAGAGAAGATTAGGTTAATAATTTTAAATTTTGCAGAACTCAAGGAAGGTCATTGGATTTTGGGATTCCCTTGTCAATTGTTAAAGGAGCTCTGGTGGGACAGTGGTTAAGGCATTTAACTGCTAACTAGAAGGTTAGCGGTTCAAAGTTACTAGCAGCCGCTTCACAGGAGAAAATTGAGGCAGTCTGCTTCCATAAAGATTTACAGCCTCGGAAAGCCGCTGGGGGCAGTTCTACTCTACTATAGGGTTGCTGAGTCAGAATCGATGGCAGGGGTTTGGTTTGGTTTGTCATTTGTGAGACAGTTAAGTTTTTAGAGCAGTGAGAGTGACTAGAAGCCAGATTGCAAAGATTCAAGTTTTTAAGCAGATGTCAAGGTGTGCTAGAGATGGTGACTGCTTGAAGGAAAGAATGAGAGGAAGTTTGGAGCTGATAATTCTCTGCCTTAGGGGCAGTCCTGTGCATCATAGGAGGTTTAGCTACATTCCTGCCTGTCTCCCCACCAGATGCCTGTTCCACCACCACCCCAACTGTGACAACCAAACATGTTTGCGGACATTGTCAAATACCCCCTAGGGCAACATTCCTTGGATTGAGAACTGCTGGTTTGCAGGGTTGAATAAGGATTGCTTGCTGCTGCTGCTTCTACCCACTGCCAGTAATCCCTTTTACTGCCACGCTGTTCTGTCTGATACTGATGTGTTAAGCATCCTTGTAGGTAGGTGGGAAAGGAGTTAGTCCAGAAGTTGGTAGAACACCACAGGCCACCAGAGGATTAGTGAGACAGGTACATGAAGAGAGTAGGAGAAAACAAGAGCAAAACCACTGTTACAAGAGGCATCCTTGAAGTTAGGATGAATAGAGAATTTTTTTTTAAGTAAATGAAGATTATTTTAGCTCACATTAGAGCTTCTTACTAAGAAGGGAGCAAAGGACATCAGAGAATGAAGTAGACAAGGCTAATATGGGGGGTTTATGAAAATTATAGAAAATTTAAATAACCCCTGTGGGGATTGATTAACATACAGGAAAGTAAAAGCAGTACTGAGCAGTAAAAGTATCTGACCTTCCTGACGCTGTTTTTTGTTTGTGCATTTTGCTGTCTAGATTTACCTACTAATCCACATTATAATCCATTTTACTTTGCTTTTTCCTCATCATGGTCTGTTCCATATTTTTAATGCTACATAATAGTCTGTAGATATTTTTTTTTCCTTTAATTTACTAAACAACCCTCCAGCTATTGATTGTTTTATTCATTGTTTTAACTGTTCCCAGTTCTTGATGCTGTTTTAAGTTGTAGCAGACATTCTTATGCTTAGAGCTTTGCTGAACTTTTTTAGTGACCCAGGAAGGATTTTATGTAGTACTTAACCCACTAGCCACTCCTCGTAAGGAAGGTTGGGCATTCTACTTCCGTAGTGATACCACCTTGGAAACCCAAGGAGGGGTCGCTATGAGTCGGGTCCAACTCATAACAAAATACACTAACAACAACAAAGTAAGAAACCTATTTGCTTAATTGTCACCTTCTCGGTGAGGTATTCTCTGAAATATCACATTTAAAATTGCAACCTTCATCTCTATTTTTCTTCATAGCACTTCCAAAATACATACTAGCTGTTTGACTGTTTTGGTTTGTACACCAGTACCTTGAATAGTGCCTGGCACATAAATTCTTGTTGGATGATGGAGGGCTTTTCCAATATCTTTGAGCAAGATAGATTTGGAATAGTGTCAGTAGGAACAGATATTTGTGGAAGCCAGTGGGAGAATAATTGCATTGACTGCTCTTTGGAATCTTGGGGCTAGGAAACAAGATAAATCCATCAGGACCAATGAATTAATTAGAAGATTGGAGGTTTAGCACCAGAGATATCAACAGAAGCATATTCTTCTGGAAAAAAGAGCATGAGGAAGGCATAAGGTAAATAAGTTGTGGTAGGGAAGGGAATTACCCAGAGTTTAGATACTGAAAATGAAACCCTTTGGGAATTAATAGTAGCAAGGTTGATAGACCACTCCGTTTTTCTGGAAATGGACTGTGTCACTGTGTTATCTAATGCAGAGCCCCTTTCATGGCAAACAGTCCCTTCTAAGTTTGTTATCTTTGATTCATACTGAATGTATATGTCAAGTTTTGTTTTCAATGTTTTTGTTGTTGTTAAGACTAGCTGTAACAATCACAGTAATCAGAGAGTGAATAATGTCTGTCAGACAATTAGTTAAGCAGAGTTAGTGACAGTGTCAACCCAAGCTGAAAGTTGAACTTACCGAAAAGTTCCCTAATTGAGTGTAGTTGATGGAGTTCTTAACTGAATCATTCATTCAAGTATCTATCTTGCAGTCACTTTACTCAGAGTAGAGCAGCTTGGTAAATATATGAAACATTTAACATAGCATAAGTTAAGTTTATTTTATGCAACTCTTGTGGGGCTGCTCTTGAGTATAGAAATTAACAGTAGTTTTGTGTTATGGCAGCCTTAGTTGTTACTCTGAACTAGTGTGTGATTCTTCTATTGGTTATAGGTTTACCACTGTAACGTATTTTTAGCTTTAAAATTCCAGTTTTTCTCAGGTGAATTGTTAATAACAAACAGTTGTGACTTTCTAGACAAAAACTCTGGAGAGAGAGTTAAAGTGATTATTTCTCACATTTGCCAGTGGATGTGTATTATTTATACTTTGTTGCTGTTGTTATGTGCTGTTGAGTCAGACCTGACTCACAGCAACCCCTCCTTGGGTTTCCAAGGCAGTATTACTATGGAAGTATATTACCCAACCTTCCTTCCAAGGAGTGGCTGGTGAGTTTGAACCACCAGCCTCCTGGTTATCAGTCAAGTGCCTTAGGCACTGTGCTATCAGAGCTCCCATTTATTCTTTAGTTTCTTTAATTTCAAACCATGATAATGATCTGAAACATAACCTTCTTTGAGAATCTCTGAGATACTTTACCATTCAACTCATTGCTTAGTAATTATAAATATGAGGGTTTCCAAGGATATTAATGTTATAAGGAAAGCAATAATAAAGGAATACTCAAGATGAGGAAATGGTTGATAGAAAGCATAATCTATTATTCTGCTACTGTATTTGATTCTTCAGATGCATTTTTTTCTAATTCTGCAAAATAGTACTTCTCAAAATAGTAGCCCTATTCACAGGTTATAAAATTAAGGCTCAGAGCAGTTAAGAAACTTGTGTAACATCACATAGTTAGGAAATAAAGTGCTAAGATTTGAACCCAGATCTCTTCAACTGTATATTTCACCATCTACCAAACTAACAAGAAAGGACAGTCATGCCGAGGGTTAGAACTTCAGAAGTTTATCAGCATAGCTCCTGAAGAGGCTAACCACTTGAAAGCTATGCCAAAGTATAGTGAAGTACATGAGATTGTGCAGGGTGCCATTATGTACCTCATCCCTATTTATCTTAAACTTCAAAATTCTTTCATCTTCTGTGAACAATTCAATATAGATTGTATATTGTGTTATAGCAGGTGCTAAGGGCATAAGTAAGCCTTCTAGAAGTAATGGTGGAACAGAAGTTGCTGTGGTCTTTAAAGAAGAATCCACACTTTATCCAAATTAATTAGCTTCTAATGAGGAGAAGTCATTAGAAAGAGAACCGCATAAAGGAGATTTCATGTTTTCAGTCCTATCCCAGGAATGCCTGTTACATACGTATATCTTCATAACCTTTATGTGTTTATAATACATGTTTTTAATCATAGGAGCTGAGGAAAGGTATTTGTTTATTTAAAAAAAAAGATTTTTTTTAACTTGAAGTTCTTGGTACTGAGTGCTTTATTCAAAATAGGATTTGATGATTATATTGACACATTTTAAATAGTATGGCATTTGTATTCATTTTTCTGTGAAGTTGACTTTGGAAATTTTGAGAGTACTTCTTCCGCGTACTAAAGTTGGAGGAAGATACTTGCATGGGCTAGAGTGACTGGTTCTTCCCTTTTCAATATAATTCACTACAGTTACCACATGGTGTAACTTATTTTAAGAGAATCTCCTACTAAGCCTTGTTTCTGTTGAAAACCAGGCTAAAACCATCCTCCTTGCACATCCTCATTATTTGCTGTTAGCATAGTATTAACTATTTTAAGATCCTAGGTTTCTCTGAATCTTGGTTAAAAGAACTTTTGTGGGGAGGGCTCCTGCAGTTTTCATTTACCTCTTCATGACCTTTTATGAGTAAATTACATGCCTGAAGAAATGGGGTACTACACAGGCCAAATTTCTGCTGCAGAGCCTCTTTTTTGAGAGCAATCAGGATAGAACTGTTACATAAGACATAAAGGACTAAGCCTGTGCCTGGAAGGCAGAATGTATATATTCACCAGATTTTTTTTGCTTGCAGGGAGAATGCTGGAGAACCAGACTCCTGGAGCACTTTGTCCTATGAAATACCCTATGAAGACTGTTCTGTGAGGCATCATCGAGAATTGGACATCTATACATTAACCTCTGAATCTCAATCACATCATGAACCCCCATTTCCTGGAGATAGTTGTACTGGACATATTTTTAAACTTAGGAACATCCAAGAGCAGTTAATGGTAAGGAAGAAAGTTTCTCATTTCAGGCTTTTGTGAGGTTCACCTCTTCTTTTCCCCCATAAAAACAAAACAAAATAAACAAACCCATAGCAACCCCCATTGGGTTTCTGAGGCTATAAATCTTTATGGAAGTAGATCGCCCCATCTTCCTTCCATGGAGCATTTGAACCACTGACCTTCTGCTTAGCAGCCAAATGCCTTATACACCACCAGAGCTCCTTCTTTTCCCCCATCCAAAAACCAAACTCACTGCTGTCAAGTTGATTGGACTCATCACAACGCCTCCTTGGGTTTCCCAGGTGGTATTTCTACAGAAGTAGATTGCCTAGTCTTCTTTTTGAGGAGTGGCTCGTGGATTTGAACCACCAGCCTTCTGGTTAGCAGTCAGATGCCTTAGGCACTACACCACCATGGACCTTGCTAAATTAGTATGTAAAAATGCTTCCCCCAAAACTGAAATCTGCAAAGCAGTAATCACAGTATTAGGTGTTACCACTTACAGATACAGAATAAGCATTAGAGTTATAGCAATAGGGAGACTAGAGAATTTTTTGTTGGGTTTTTGTCAGATTTTTTTTAATAATGAGAGCTATACACACACCCACATGTTAAAGATACAGAAACACACAGCAACTGGAGCTAAATTTTCCTGGCATAAAAGGAAATTTGTCTGTGTTTGGTTTAACTTTATGAAATTAAGTGAGCAAAATAATTTCTGAGATTGTTGCTAACAAACAAAAATCAAGTTTACCCAGGAATAAAGCCTTTTCACAAGTATTTCAGTGAGTAATGGTAGTGTAACTATATTTAAATTGATAGTTATATGGAAAAAATGTCACTAAAAAACAATAAAGGTTTTATAACCCACTCAAGCCTTGAAGATAAAGTTGCTGCCAGACATAAAAACATTACAGACTCCCCTAGTAGCATTTATTATGGATAATATAAACGTCACATTGGTACATCTCTCTTGACCATGACATCTGAAAAGCTAAGTTTAAATAATTTTTTCACCCAATTTAGTTTAGAGCAGATTTGATTTGGAAACAGCTTGACAATAATTTCATTAAAGGTTATCTAGGGTCAGCTCAGTGCCAGAGGCTTCTTTGGGAGTAGGCATTTTTGAAACAAGCAGGCCAAGAGGCTTCATAGCAGGATTGTGTGGTATGACTGCCTCTGCCTTTCAGAATCATGCTTGTCAGAACAGGTGTCATTTGTCATTTTGTTTTCCTGTGAATGTACTGCCAGGAATTCAGAATGTCCTTCACAGCTCTTCTTGCTAGGTAGATGATAGTCTATTTGACTATGGGAATGGTTAACAGGAAGGCCTGAGAAATTAAAAATGTGGAAGGATGCATGTGTTAGGTACTTTCTAAATTCTTTTAGCCACATCTCTTGTTTCGCAGGTCACTGTTCCATAATGTTCATTCTTCATTAGATTTAATGACCTGCTTTCATAGCTTTAAGAAGATAATCACATTCTCAGAAACAGAATCAAGCTACTTTTGAATACGCTAAGGGGTAGTGCCTAAGGCATTTGGCTGCTAACCAGATGGCTGGCAGTTCAAACCTACTAGCCACTCCTCAGAAGGAAGACTTGGGCAATCTACTTCCATAGAGATACTGCCTTGGAATCCCAAGGAGGGGTCGCTATGAGTCGAGTTTGACTTGACAGCAGTAAGTTTGGGTTTTTTTTTTTGGAAGGGGTATAACACTGAAGCTTTTAGTGAAAATCCATTTTTCTTGTACTCACTTATAGAAGGACTTTAGCACATTTCACATTTACCTGGGTAAACTTTTATAATAGAGTAAGTAAACAGGAACATTTTACTTGAAGGAGTGCTTTATAAGAGGTCAGTAAATTTACTTTATAAGAGGTGAGTAAATGAATGAGAGGATGGAGGAGAGTAGATCATGCTTGGGATTATTGCAGTAGATCAGATAGTGAATGAAGAACAGACCACTTGTTTTTAAAGTGCTGAGCACATAATATTTTTAAGAATACTAAAATTTTTATAATGAAGGCAAACTCACCCTAATAAATCAATTGTGCTCTTTTTACTCCATTTCTTCTTAGGGCTTATTTTCATGCATATGTGATTTATCTTAGAGTTGCAAAAAGTATTTTTAAGATGACGTGGAATATGCTCAGGCCACAGTCCCCTGTGAAAATAATTAGGATGTAGGATTATTAATGTTATATGTTGTCATTTATTTAATATTCATTGTTGAATAACAGAGTAGTTGCTTTCATTAAAAAAAAAAAAGACAATCTACCATGCCACTATTCTTGAAATTAATAACCCATAACTAAAATTGTTAAGCTAGATTGGGTGGTGCATATTGTTAGGATTAAAGCACAAGGTGTAATTCCTCAGTGAATATTTAGAGTACAGGAGCATCTGGCTGCACATTAAGATTGAAGACTTAATTGAAGACCACATTGGTTAGGATTTGTTTTTACTTGCAGATATGAGGCAGGATGGAAACAGCAGCCTCTGTCCCTCTAAAGACCCTATACAAAGTATCTGTACTAGCTGCTCATTTGAGGATACTCATCTGTGCTTTTTTAAAAATAAGATTTTTGTAGTAGCTTGAATGATTGGGTGGGAACTTTGGGCAGTGAGTTTATATTAATGGGGGAAGAGTAACTCAGGGAAGGTGAGAATGGTTGCACAACTCAAAGAGTATAATCAGTGTCACTAAATTGTGCATGTAAAAACTGTTGAATGACTGTGTGTTCTGCTGTGTATATTCTCAACAACAAAAATTAAGATAAATTGCTAGAAAAAATGAAGCTGTTGAGGCTCAGTTTTAATCTACTCTACAAAATAAGTTTAGTATATAGGAAATAATCATCATGTGTATTCTCTGCCATTTTTAACACCCCAGGAGATGTGCAGGTGTAAGATAAGAAAATTATATCAGGAACAAGAGAAAATTGACTTTTATTTGTTTAGACCAATTCTATCATATGACCTTCGAAGAGCCAAAATAGCATTGAGTTCTTTCTAACCAGCTCATTGCTTGTAACTGTTGGTGACATTTTTTCCCATGGACAATTTTTTAAAACTATGTTTTATTTCTTCCTAGAAAACAAACCTCAAGCAGATGGACAGTCTTATGCCCTTAATGGTTACAGCACGGGATCCTTCAAGTCTTCCCAGTGCCCCAGACATAGTAGACAGCCAGTCTCTTCACAGTGTATTAGAGCGCATGGATAGCCAGCACCTTCCTTCCCCTCCTAAATTTACAGGTAGCACTCCATGCTGCCAGGGGAGCCCTGCCAAAGGGCAGATTGATTTGTTAAGTGTAGTTAAGGAAGAGAACACAGACTGTTCCTGTAAGGAAAAAAATAAAGGCGTGGAGAGAAAAGGGGAAGAGGTGGAGCCAGCACCCATTGTGGACTCTGGAACTGTGTCTGATCCAGACAGCTGCCTTCAGAGTATGCCTGAATGTGGAAAAAAGGGCATGGAAGCCTCTCCCTCCTGTGGAAACAGAAATGAAGAAACTGGAGCAAAACCTTCTGGAATGACTGCAGACCAAGAGTCATTGAGCAATGGAGACAATGTCTTACAAGAAGACCTGGTCACAGAGCCAGGCACAGCCCAGCATTTCTCTGGAGGTGAACTGGCCATCCGTGCAACAGATGTTAATGTCCCAGAGTCTGCAGAGGAAATGGGACATGTTCTCATGAACTCAGATACCACCTTCCAGACGAATGTGCTTGAAGTACGGGAAAGTACGAAGGAAAGAACTAAAAACATTAATATCAGCACAATTGGAGCCTCTGATGTAAAAGTCACAAGTAAGCCTGTGGATCAAACCAGTGTTCTAAACTGTGTCTCTGCTGTCAGTTTCCTGGATGATGATAAACCTGCTGCGTCTTTACTTGGATTTAGTAATGGAGAAACCTCCATTGGAAATATTGCAGAAACAGAAACTTCAAGGAGAAAGTATGAAGAGAGTACTGATGCTTTAGTAGACCAGAACTCTCTGGTAATTCCAGCTGCTCCAAAAGACAAGCTATTAGATGAATCAGAACCTGATAATCCCTTAGCAAGCAACTGTGAGGCAGTATCACCCTCTGATTTAACTTTTCCCGGGCCAGAAAAAGAAAACCAGAAATCAGAAACTAATTCATCTCATGTTCAAAGACAGGGAAACAAGTCACCCGTCGGTCCGACAATTGGAGATGATAAGCTTTATGCTGAGCTTTCATGTCAACAGAACACGGTGACTTTTAATGGTGAATTGGCAAAACATTATGATGACATAGTTGCCTGGCCTGAACACAACATAACAGGGCAGACTGTCACACAAGGTCCACCTCCTGCGGTCTTCTCTGAAGACCCACAGGCTAACACAGTCATCTCTGATCGTGTACAAAATCCCCAGGAACATGTGGATCATTGTCCTCCCGAAGTTAGAGACATAGAGTGCCAAGGAGAAGATTTGAATCTAGATACACCTTTAACAAATATGCATGATGTGGCTTTGCATCCACATGCAGTTGTCCCCAAAGCTGAGAAAGAACTGGTGCCAGACCAGGCAGTGACATCAGACAGCACTTTCTCTCTTGCAGCCAGGCCAGGCAATGAATCAGTAACCAAAGGTGACGCACTTTCTCTTGTCCCCTCCCAGAAAGAAAAAGGAACAGCAACTTCTGAACTACATCAGTGTACAGACTGTAGAGATGATCCAGGTGGAGATTTGTGTGATCCCAATAAGCAGCCACTAGAAGACAGTGCAGCTGGCCTGTCTGCTACAGATCTCCAGCCCGGCATGGGAAATACCAGTCCCGTGGGACTTGGTGGGCAGCATGAAGATCCCTGCCCCTCAGCACCTCCAGAAGTTCTGAGCATCAGGGGACTGGGCACTGATTCTTCCCTACTAAATGTGAGTAAGGCTACTTTGGCCGCTGATTCAGTTTTGACTGAAGAAGGAAAAAATCTGATGGTTTCAGAAAGCTCTGCAGCTCAGAAACAAGATGATAAGGACAAAGCAGTGATTTGCCCCTTCATCAAGGAAGATACTCTTTCTTCAAGAACATTACAGGAAAAGCAGAGAGCACTACCTTCTGGACAGGAAGAACTGAGATTCCATGAAGAACCTACTTTAGCTGCCTGTGCTGAGGGCAGTGCACTTCAACACAGTAATTCACTGGGCACACCCTCTGCCTTTCTTAATGCAGAAACTAAACATAACAAGGAAGTAGCCCCACAAGGCTCACTGCTGACTGAAGGTGGAGCTGCACAGAACTTGGTGCCACCACAAGCAAGTCTGACTATAGATTCGAGACAGGAAGCCTTGGGTCCAGAGCAGAGCAGCCCACCTCGGTTACCTGATGCATCTGAAGCTCCTAATTACAAACAGTCTTTTGCTCAGGATGCTGGAGTAAAGGACGCGCAATCCCAGGGAGAAACTACTGCTTGTGAGGTGAGTGGAAATGGGTCATTGGATGATGCAGTGGCTAGTGCTCAAGAAGGTATTATTGAGACCAGAAGAAAGGATATAGCACGTGGCACCCAAGACATCCCTGCTTCAGAAGTCTTGTTGAGCCAGGAGAAGAATATGATCCTGGGTTTGCCAGGAGTTTTGCCAGACAAAGGTATGACCAACCTACAGGCAGCTACAACCCCAGGAGTGCTACCTCTTGACTGGGAGAAAGTGAAGCTGGAGGGAGTGGATCAGAGCTGTACGGTGGGCAACTCCAAGGAAGCACAAGTTGTTGATGAAGCAAATCATGATCTGCTGCAGCCGATTGCCAAGGAGCTCCCTGCAGACACAGGGCTCTCAACCACTGAAAACAAGGCCACACTTGGTATGAAGGAAGTCACACAGGCCACAGCCCTGTGCAAGGAAATGAGTGTTCCCACTCTGTCCAGCATTGTGTCTGCCAAAACTGTGGCTCTGCCTAAGGGAGCAGACTTGATAGAGGATGCTGCAAGTCGAATAGTGAATGCTGTCATAGAACACGTCAAGGCCTCAGGAGCACTGATTACTGATGGGGAAGTCAGTCACGGACCACTGTCCAGTCCTTCTGAGTCAGGCCCTATGGGTGAACAGCTAAAGAATGTGTCTACTGAGAAAGTGAATATTTTCGTGCCGGGGAAGACCCCACCACTGGTCAATAGTCATGGAGAAGCCACTGACAACGTTACAATGTGTTTTGCTGCAAAGGAGGAGCCAGAGAATATTATTCTGCCTGTCCAAGGACCAGAATCGGCAACAGGTAAGCAAAACAGAATACAGAATTTACAAGTTGAGAAACAAATTTCTTTTAAGAGTCTCTGTGATGTGATGGAAATCATATGTTGTTGTTTTTGTTGTTGCTTTGTGCCATTAGGTTGGACCCTACTCTTAGAGACCCCTCCTTGGGTTTCCGAGGCAGTATCACTACAGAAGTAGGTTGCCCAACCTTCCTTCTGAGGAGTGGCTAGTGGGTTTGAACCACCAGCTGTCTGGTTAGCAGACAAGTGCCTTAGGCACTATGCTACTTTTATTTAGAGGTAGTGTGCTCACTTGGTAGATTACCAAGTTAATAGTCACCATCATCAGAAGAGGCACATCATCTCTGATGGTTGGGTAGATTTTGCTTCCTGTATTACAGATTCCCCCTGGCTTGATAGCTTAAAACTCTGTCACACTGGAGAAGTTACAATGTTCCAAACATGGAAAACAATGGCTGGATCACAGGTGCTCCAAAATGATAAAGGGATTTAGTAAATATTTGTATTTACATGGCTTAGTCCTTTTCTCTAGGGCCATGGAAAAAGTACTGAAAAATATAACTGGGAAGTTTCTGCTGTATCTGTTTTTTATTTACAAGCCTGAAACCCCCTTCTTCCCGTATCATCCTAGTCAGCTTTCTGAACACACTTAAGAGTCAGGAGTGGGTTCATGAGCAGCTATAACTATCATGCTAAACTGCTGACCTAATATCCAAAGTAGTGATACTAGGTAATTGGTGAGAGTGAGGGGTAGGAATAAGGAGTTCCCCTTCTTTGACTGCCTGAAGAGCAGGCCTCCAGTTGCATTGCTTGTTGCTTTTGGGCAATAGTCTGGGAATTCAGGGCTGTGCACAGTACAGGGGGTAGGATGCAGGATTTCCGCCCAAGCCCAGTCAGCTGAGCTGCTGTCACAGGGCAGACCTTGTGTCTGCTTATCTGGGTGAAGCAGCTGCATTGAGCAGCCTGTTGGGCTCAGTGCAGCTGCTTCACCAAGAAGCCTATTTCTATCTATGGGTAACCATGTCCAGAGAGAGCAAAGAGAAACCACCACTGCTCAGTGGAAATAAACTATCTGCATAAAACTTCTTCAAATTGAGGTTGAGCCTGAAGCTGAAACTGGAGTTGGGCTTGGTATTGACTCCTGAAGTCTTTAAAGGTCAGTTTGATTCAGACTATTATGTCACCACCTGTTACCAGATACAGAGGATCTATCTCCATGCTTGCCCTTAGGCTCTTGTAGGTAAAAAGTACCCTGTTTCGCTTTTATCATTGTTTTCTTCTGTTTAATGTTTGAAGATCTTTCTAAATGTAGTACTTGTTAAGAGTATGGGGGTAGGAAAGGGGAGGGTGAAGAGAAATGAACAAATAGATCAAGAAAAGAAGTCATGTTGTTCTTATCCAAAGCCTCTTAGGAAGAAAAGCAGTTTAAACCCAGTGGTCATTTTCCCCAAAAAGGGTTTTCAACCATTTATAGTTTTTTTTTTTTTTTTTTTTTCTGCAAATGAAGAATTTAAGGAACTGACTGAAGTGGTATTTTTGGTGACTTCAGGTTTTCAGTTTTGAGGGATCATTTGGATTATTCATGATAGAAATTTGTTGGCTCCTATCTTAGAACTTAAATGAGCAGGTCTCTAATTTTTAAAACTCAGGCACAACAAGAAGTCTATTTTGGGGGCCCTGGCAGGTTGACATTTCAGAAGAATGGGAGTGGCTGTAAACTGATGCCTGGCTATATTCTTCTCATTTGAGTACTGTGTCTTTGGCCACATAGGCTGGAATTATTTCACTTTCTGGCTCAGTCAGAATTTATTTAACCTAAGAAAGAGCAAACTGTGTGGGGTTTTTGTTTGTGGTACTGTACGATAAAAGGTTTTTTAAAAAAAAAGGGAGAATTTCAGACTGGTTTTTAATAATTCATAAATATTGTAGAGATGCCAACAAATTATTTTTAAGATTTTAAGGCTTTAGGAAGGGAAACAAGATGCATGAAGTTTCAACAGTGTATGCATCTTGGGTAAGTATTTATGTGTGGGTAGGTTACTTGTTTTGCTACCAAAAGAAGGCATATATGCTTGGTGTACTCATAGTCTCAGTCTACAGACAGAAATAGTGGTGAAGAAATCGGGACTTTCTTCAGAAAATTGGCAGGGTTAGGGAAAGCCCCTAGTCACATTGCCCGGGAGAAAAAGCACCCGAATGAGCTCAAAGCCAAAGGGTATTTTCTAGGACATCTACAATCCATTCATGGATTTAACCATACACCATAATTCCTAATGTTAGGAATTGGAAGACAGGTGTTTAACTGCTGATTTGGATGTTGCCACATTTCTCCCTTACATCTGTACAGCATTGACTTCTTGTTTTTATTTACTGCTAGAGATAAAGCCAGATAGAAATTAAAATGGGGAAAACCCAAAATTTCTGGGTAGAAAGAGGGAAGGTGGCCCTTCAGCCATTAAGAGCATTGATCACTATGCTTTGGGATGTTGGTGTTGCACCACTGAGCCAGACCAGTCTTGCAGAGGTTACTAACAGCCCTCAGGTCTCAGTAATCACTGTTTACCATTGTGACTGGTTGTGACTTGCCAAGATACATATTTTCAGTTGATGGGATATAGGAAAGTTATGCCAAAAATTACATCTCCAAATAAATAATATCAAAACTATCAACAATGAAAAAATTACTCTCACTTAGAAATGTTTTGATCGAGGGATACTGCTAAGGGTATTGCTTAGTCAATTTCTTTTCCATTTCTTTTAACTTTAATCACATTTTATGAAATGCAAGACAGACTTTGGTTTTTTGGGCAAGGAAGTTTGCTTATCCATTTTTAAACTGCTAGTTAGGTATTATAAGAGCAAAGAAAGAGGAAAGGTAATTTATAAATGTTCATTGTAGGAATGTAACTTTTCTAAATCTCAAGTTGTTACTTTTGTTAGTTCTGAACATGTTGTCTCTGACTCATGACAGCCTTATGAATAACAGAATAAAGTGTTGTGCAGTCCTGTGCCATCTTCCAAATTACCTTTGTATTTGTCATAGTGTGCTACTAGAATAGAGTCTTAATTAATGTAACTTAATTCTTTAGTGAAAGAAACTTCTCTGCCTTTTGGTGTAGGGAGCAATTTTCTCTTCCAGAGTAGAGGCACCACTAGATGAATAACAATCACAGAAAATTTTCCATGTGGAATTGATATGACAGTTTCACTGTTTGGATTATCAAGGTGAATTTTCACTGTGCCATCATCAGTCCTGTGTAAGAAAGCATCAGAAGCTGAAATTTGCCTCAGATACTATTTTATCACTTCCTGTATTTGCTTAACCATACAGAGGCAAACATTAACAAAAACCACTGCTGTTTTGTCGCTTGAGTGTGATCAGCAAGAAGATAACATAATCTTAAATGTTTAAAAATATTTTTTCTTAAGAAAAGGAATTGCTACTTTGGGATTATGTTTTGGTTTGGAAAGAAATAAGACTTAAAGCCAAAAATGATAATTTACTGAGCTCACTTAGTTCTTGTCAGTTGCAGTGGTAGGTATAGGTAGATCAGGGAGTAAAGTACATTTTAGAAGAAAGTCAGACTTGTCCCAAAGGCTTTGTTTCATTCTCGGTAGCTTTTTCCTTTTTTTGTTTTTTGTGGAGAAAGTTTTGTTTTGGGTTTGTTGGGTGTGTATGTGTGAGAAAACATACACAGCAAAACTTGCTCCCATTCCACAGTTTGTAGACACAATAATCTTCTCATTCTGTCATTATCTTCGTTGTCTCTGTTCTCGCTGTTTCACTTCCATTTACTTAAACTCCCCTAACCTTCTCATCTGAGCTTTAAATTTGCTTTTCCCTTTTTGTCTTATACTGATACGTCCTGGCTTTTTTGATGATGGGCAAAATAGGCCACTGACTTTCAGCCATTAGTCTGTTCCCTTAAATCTTAGGAATTTACTTTTTCATACACAAGTCAGCCCCACACTCATAGATTGGTCATAAAAAGTCAGTAGTGAAAATGGAAGTTCAATAAACATTGAATTGAATCCTCCCTTAGCACAAGACCCACAAAAGAGTTAAATTGTGATCATTAACTGCTTTTAGGGAAAACCATACAGCAGTGTGGCAAAGGAATAGGCTTAGCACAGGGTCAGAAAGGACACCAGCTGCTGAAAGCAAAATAATATTTTTCCATTTAAGACAAACAAAATGCATGATCCCCAGAGCATGTTGTGTAAATAGTAAGGCTCAAGAATCAATTTTTCAGATGCACTCTGTAACCTAACTTTCTTATTCTCTTCAGAAATGCCAGACACGAAAGCTGAAGATGAAGTAGACTTTCTGAGTAATTCCAAAGAGAGTTCAGTTTCTGAAGAGGTGGCTGTAGAACACATAGTTACACCTAAGATAAAACAATGCCCGAAGACCCAGGCGGTAAGTGGCATCAGTAAGTCTATATGAGCACAAAATGTGTTTAGCTTGGTCTGTGGCATCTGATTTATGGACTTGTTTTTTGTTTGGGAGATTGTTTTCCCAAAAACAATATTTTTTGCCTTCTCTCTTGTTCTGTTACATAAATGGGGATACATGACTGCAGTTCAGCTTTCATGAATGGTGTGTACTGTACAGCAGAGTTTCAGAATGGGCCCTCCTATTGAATCCCTTGGGAGCTCTGGTAGCATAGTGGCTAAAAGCACTTGACTGCTAACCAGAAGGCTGGCGGTTCAAACCCACCAGCCACTCCTCGGAAGGAAGTTTGGGCAATCCTACTTCCGTAGTGATACTGCCTCGGAAACCCAAGGAGGGGTCGCTATGAGTCGGGGCCGACTCGACGGCAAAACAACAACAACAACAACATTGAATCCCTTGGAGATTAGAATGAAAAAGATTCCCTATGAATTAAAAATGTTTAAATTTGTGGTCCACCTTAAAGTGTAAGAAAATGAGAGTCACCACAGAAAGACTCTGTTAACCCTTTTCAAATTTGATTCTTCTTTCTTTATGTAGAAACTGATTAACAAAATGAGATTTTCATTTATAGCTCAATATAGTCATGCTTTACTTAATGACCATGATACATTCTGTAAAATAAGATGTTACATGATTTGGACACTGTGGAAGTGCTATATTGTAGTCTGGCCCTTTCTTTAAGCATCTTGAACAAGCATTGTGCCTTAGGCGTGATCATCGTCATTATCATCATCGTCATGCTGACAAAGAAGGAGATTTGCTTTTGTATCGGTCCTCAATCCACTTCATTAGCAACTTTTCCATGTCTGATACAGATCTCTGACATTGTTGTTACCTTGTGGCTGTCAGTGGAGCTGAACTTTAATAAGAGCCTGGAAAATTTTTTCTTTGTTTTTAAGAATCGTAGTAATTGTTGAGTGCAGGAGTGGGATATGACTAAATCGTGAACTGTAGAATTCTCTGATTTTCCACTTTTGTGTAGTTTGATGACTTACTTTCATTTCCATATTGATAATTCTTCTTTACCTCTTGCTACTGCTATCACTAGCACAGGTTTTGCTGAGTTTGGGAGATACAGTGCACTTCATGGTAATACTTCCAAAAGAAAATTAAACAGAGGTAATAGTAATGCTACAACACTCAAGTAACATGGAGTACACAAGGTTGGATGCTGCTGCCTATGAGTGGAAGCATACACTATTAAACTTTTTAGATAGAAAATACAATACATTACATAAACCAGTAACATAGATGTTTATTATGTCTATCAAGAATAAGTATTATAGGTTATATATGTACTGTACCATTATATGCCTTGTAGCACAATTGCTTTATATACAAGAGGCACACATGACACACATGTAGTTTGTGGGAAGCTGTTGTGTTCACTGCATCCCTTTCTCCAACTGAGATTTCTGAACACTGTATAACCTTATGGGACCATGGATGTATATGTAGTCATACGTTGCCTGAATGTACATTATATAAGACATGACTCTACTATGGTCTAATATATGAAGTATGCCATTTTTACAATGGAAATGAAACAGTTCAGTAATTTTTTAAATCACAGCTTTATTGAGATATAATTCACATTCCATAAAATCCTTCCATTTTAAAGTGAACAGTTACGTTAAGTATATTCATAAAATTACACAGCCATCATCACTACCTAATTTTAAAGCATTTCCATTACCCCAGAAAGCAATATCATATTTATTAGCAGTCATTCCCCTTTCCCACCCCCACCTCCTGGAAACTACTAATCTACTTTCTTTATCTCTGAATTTGCATATTCTGGACACATTTCATGTAAATGTAATCACCTAATATGTGGTCTTTTGTGACTGTTTTGTTTAATTCAACATAGTGTTTTTCAGGTTCATCTTTGTTGTAGCATGTGTCACTACTTCATTCCTTTTTCTTTTCACATAATATTCCATTGTATAAACTATATGATACTTTGGTGGACATTTTGATTGTTTCTACTTTTTGGCTACTGAGAATAATACTGCTATCAATATTTATAAGTAAATTTTGTGTGGACATATTTTCATAGATGGGAGTCTGTGAAATTGCTGGGTGTATAGTAATTCTACGTTTAATATTTCAGTTGTTGTTGTTGTTGTTGTTGTGTGCCGTCAAGTCGCCCCCGACTCATAGCGACCCCTCCTTGGGTTTCCGAGGCAGTATCACTACGGAAGTAGGATTGCCCAACCTTCCTTCCGAGGAGTGGCTGGTGGGTTTGAACCGCCAGCCGTCTGGTTATTTCAGTAAGTTTTAAAAAATGTTTTCAAAGTCTTGATTATTATTTTTCTTTTGTTTAAGACTGTTAACTTTTAAAATATAAGAATTTATTAAACTTGTTTAAACAGTACCCTAAGCTTTAATTCCATGCTGTACAAAGAAAAATTTTTAGGAAACTAATCAAATTACAGTCTAAATAATACTGCCTTTCACAAAGTCAGTCTTCTTTTGGGTAGATTTGACAGTGCTCTGTTTTTCTCTTCAGAGGGCTAATTTCCAGTCCCCCTCCAAAGTTAGTAAGTAAACAGAACTGTACTATCCCAAATTGTTCAAGTGAACTGTGATAAGCAAGTTTCATTTTATTGCACTACTGTGTTGGAAAGATGCTCACTGCTCTAACCTGCCCCCTTACTACAGATTGTATTCACGGACTGATGCTTGGGTGGCTACTTGTATAACTGAAAAACCAAATGCATTGTTCAGACAAATGTTGCTTTTGTCCCTGGGAAAATAAAAGAATACCTCTATGGGTATATGTGTCTTTGCTTCCAAAAACCCTCAAAAAGGGAAGGAAAAAAATTCACATTTTTGAGTTCAATGCTTCTGTTTCTTGGTCCTCCATTTTAACATGTTGTTGTTGTTATGTGCTGGTGAGTCAGACCCGACTCATAGCGACCCCTCCTTGGGTTTCCCAGGCAGTACCACTAGGGAAGTAGATTGCCCCATCTTCTTCCAAGGAGTGTCTGGTGGGTTTGAACTTGCCAGCCTTAGTAGTTGGATATCTGCCATACAAAATGAGGAATAATTTTTCATTCCTTAAGATGTTTGACACATTATGCTATAAATAAACTCTTACTTTTGAGATTATTACGTAATGGTTAAAATCATGGCTCCTATAAGAATGAGGCCATATCAATGTTAATGTTTCTATATAGCCTCAGAGAAAATATACACGTATATTAAATGCTGCAAGTTTCTCTCTTGCAGCTCTTAACTGATAATTCTTCACTGTGTAGAAAATCGTTCATAATTTAGAAGGCCACATTATGAATTTGTACATAATATGGTTCTTTCCAGTGACCATTGTATCAGTATCTTACACTTGTGATTTGTGACATATTGCTGTAGCTTTAATAGCAGTAACAATTTAATATTCAGCATTATCCCCTCTTACATATTTTACTAATTTCAAAGTTCTCAGATACCTTTTGTTGTCTTCATTTTACTTGCTTTTCTCTGTGAATTAGAACAGTGCCTAGCACACCACAGTGCAGCTTAGCATTATTATTATTATTATTATTATTATTATTATTATTATTATTACTGCTACTACTGATAACAATTAGTTTTACAACTTCACACCCCAACATTCTTTTTCACTCATTTAAGTAACCAGTAGCATGTAAACATAAAACCAGTTGCATCAACTTAATTCTGAAAGCAATCAAGACTCAATTACTGCTTCTTGAACATACGTTATAAAAAACATAAGGATTAGAATTACATATTACATAAATTGGGAGACATGGAGCTTATTTTATTTCTCAGACCTTTAGAATTTAAAAGGAGCTTTGGTGATATAGTGCATAGTGCCTGAGGCATTTGACTGCTAACCAGAAGGTTGGTGGGTCAAGCCCACCAGCCACCCTGTGGAAGGAAGACTGGGCAATCTATTTCCATACAGATTTACCACCTCAGAAACCCAGTGGGGGTCACTGTGAGTCGAAATTGACTCAGTGGCAGTGAATTTGGTTTTTGGTTTTGGTTTAGAATTTGAATAAACATTAAAGACTATCTGAAGTCTTAACACCTGCGCCTTTAGAACAGCAGAGTTAAGTGACTTGCCTTGTCTCACAACTAGTTACTTGTAAACTAGACTAGAACCCAGCTTCTGTTCTTGTAATATTTCCACTATAGCTTTGTTTCTTGAAGAGACGTTCTGAGGGTTCACGCTGAGGGAATCCAATTCACTTGACCTAGAGTAGGTATTTGCATTTTAAGCAAGAACCCCCTGAATGATTATTATATACACCAAAATTTTAAAAAGCATTACATTATATTCCCATATGTTCAGTGTTAATTGGAGGAATTCCTTAGGACAGGATCTAAGTTAATTCACTTCAAAATTGGTATCATGTTCTTTTTTTTATGTCATCAAAATACATGTTCCTTTTTCTTAGTAATTCATTGTATTGTTGTTCAGAATATGCACAGCAAAACATACACCATTTCAAAAATTTTGCCATGTACAATTCCAAAAAGAAAAAAAAAATAAAACCACTCATTGCTGTCGAGTTGTATCCAATTCACAATGACCCCCTCCTTGGGTTTCTGAGGCAGTATCACTACGGAACTAGATTCCCCAGTCTTCCTTCCTAGGAGTAGCTTGTGGCTTTGAACCACCAGGCTTCTGGTTAGCAGTCAGGTGGTTTAGGCACTATGCCACCAGAGCTCCTATATACAGTTCAGTGACATTGATTTCATTCTTCAAGTTGTACAACCATACCCACCTTCCTTTTTCCAAGTTGTTCCTTCATTATCGTAAATTCACTGCCCCTAAGTTTTCTATTGCTATTCCTGACTCTTCTTTTTCCTCTGTTGCTCCAGGCAAATAGAGACCAATTGTTGTACCTTGGATGGCCACTTGCAAGTTTTTAGGGCCCCAGAACTGTGCAAGAACTAAGAGGTAGAACAGCAGCACTACACCTGTTAGGCTCGTTAACTGGGATGTTCCATGAAACCATGATCCTAACCGTCCAAAGCAAGGAACTGAATCCCATGTGGTGTTTGAGTGTACATAAATAGCCTCAGCAGCTATTCTTTACTGTTGTTGTAGTAAATATATCTATCATACTACTTTTGCTATTTCAACTTTTTGCAGGTCTGCAACTTAACTGACAGCAATTACATTAACCGGCCGTGTAGCCCTACCCTTATCAGTGCAATTTTTTCATCACCGTAAACTGAAACTTAGTGTTCCATAAATAATAATTGCCTCTTTTCTCCACTCTCCTGACCCTCAACTGCTATCAAATCAATTTCGAGTCACAGTGACTCTTTAGGACAGAGTAGAACTGGCCCATGGGGTTTCCAAGGCTGTAAATCTTTACAGAAGCGGACTACCTCATCTTTCTTGTGTGGAGTGCCTGCTGAGTTTGAATTGCCAACCTTTTGGTTACCAGCCAAATTCTTCAATCACTGCACCACCAGTGCTCTATTCCCACCCCTGGTAACCACTAACAAACTTTGATCTCCATACATTTCCCTGTTCTATATAAGTGAGGTTAAACAATATTTGTCCTTTTGTGATTGGCTTATTTGACTCAGCATGTAATGTATTCAGGCTTCTTTGATGCTGTACCATGAATGAAACTTCGTTTCTCTAATGGCTCAGTTGTATTCCAGTGTATATATGTACTACATTTTGTTTATCCCTTCATCCATTGATGGGCATTTAGGTTGTTTCCACATTTTGACTATTGTGAATAGTGCTGCAATGAACATTGATGTACAGGTGTTTGTTTGAGTCTCTAGTCTCAAGTCTTTTGGATATATACCTAGTAGTGGAATTGCTGAGTCATATGGTAGTTCTGTTTTTAGGTTTTTTTAGGAGTTGCCACAGTGCTTTCCACAATGGCTGTACCATTTTGCATTCCCAGTCAGCAAATCTCACTAACATTTGTTACTTCCTTTTTTTATATATTGCTTTTAATCATAGCCCTCATAGTTGGAGTGAAATGGTATCTCATTGTGGTTTTGATTTGCATCTCTCTAATGGCTAATGATACTGAGCATCTTTTCATGTATTTGGTGGCCATTTGAATGTCCTCTTTGGTGAATGTCTATTCAAGACCTTTGCCCATTTTATGTTTGGGTTATTTGTCCTTTTGTTGTTAAGTTGTTGAAGTTTTGTACATACATTTCAGTTATTAGGTTCTTGTCAGCTAATATGGTTGCCAAAGATATTCTCCCAATTGGTATCTTGTCTTTTCACTTTTTTGGCAAAATCTATTGATGAGCAAAATTTAATTTTTATGAAGTCTCACTTATTTGTCTTTTGATGTTTGTACTTGTGTTCTCATATTAGATAATCCATTGTGGAAAGCTAGGTCTGACAGTGTTGCCTCTGCTTGTTTTTCTAAGAATGTTAGGGTTTTAGTTTGCACATTTAAGTTCTTGATCCATTTTGAACATGGATCTTGTTTAATTTTTCTGCATGTGGAAATCCAGTTCCCTTGGGACCATTTACTGAAGAGACTCTTCTTTCTCCATCAAATGGACTTAGCATCCTTGTCAAAAATCATTTAACATAGATGGTATTTTTTTATCTGGACTCTCAGTTCTATTCCACTGAACTTTGTGTCTTCTGTTTTACCAATACTGTTGTTGTTGTTGTTACGTGCGGTGGAGTCAGACCCGACTCATAACGACCCCTCCTTGGGTGTCTGAGGCACTATCACTACGGAAGTAGATTACCCAACCTTCCTTCCGAGGAGTGGCCTTCTGGTTAGCAGGCAAGTGCCTTAGGCACTACGCTACCAGAGCTCCCTGTACCAATACTTCTTGTTGTTGTTATTTGCCGTCGAGTCGACCCCGACTCATAGCCACCCTTCCTTGGGTTTCCAAGGCAGTATCACTACAGAAGTAGGATTGCCCAACCTTCCTTCCGAGGAATGACTGGTGGGTTTGAACCGCCAGCCTTCTGGTTAGCAGTCAAGTGCCTTAGGCACTATGCTACCAGAGCTCCTGTACCAATACTAGTCTCTTTTAATTTCTATAGCTGTATGATATGTTTCAAAATCAGGAAATGTTAGTCATCCTATCTTTTTCTTCTCTTTCAACCTTGCTCTTAGCAATTTGGGGCCTTTTACCATTCCATATAAAGCTGAAGGTTATTTTTTACATTTGTATAAAATAGATTGTTGGAATTTTGATTGAGATTGCATTTAATCTGTAGATTGTTTTGGGTAGTTTTGACATCTTGACAACTTTAAGTTTTCTATTCCATTAACATAAGACATCTTTCCATTTATTTAAACATTTAATCTCTTTCAGCAGTGTTTTATTATTTTCATAGTGTAAGTTTTTCATCTTCCTGGTTAAATTTATTTTTAGGTATTTTATTATCTTAGATGCTATTGTAAATGGAATTGTTTCTTTAGTTTCATTTTCAGATTTCTTATTGCTGGTGTATAGAAACCCAAAAGATTTTTGTTTGTTGACCTTTACCCTGGAACTTTGCTAAATTGAGTCTTTGGGATTTTTGTATACACTTACAACTTGCTTATCAGCTTTCTCATTACCTGACATTTCTCATTTATAACAATAGTGAAAATTGACCGACCGTTTAGTGTATTACTAACATACATCTGGCAGTAACAAACACCAAGGTGTGAGACAAGAGTAACCCTAGCTGTAATGGTTAAAGTTACGTGTCCACTTGGCTGGGCCTTGATTCTCAGTGATTTGGCAGTTATGTATTGATGTAGTTATCCTTCATTTTGTGGTGTGTTCTGGCCATCACCTATTTTCACTTAATACTGATTTTTACATAATAGCCTTAGTCTTTGGAGCCTAACCATGTTGATAAGTGAGGAGTGGGTGTCTAGAATCATGTCATTTGACAGTAAATATGGTTTTACTTCTGTTTGTCTGATCTGGATGTCTTTTATTTCTTTTTCTTATTTTATTGCTCTGACTAGGACTTCTAATACAATATTGAGTAGAAATATTGAGATTAGGCACCCTTGTCTTTTTCCTGATTTGAAGGGGAAATTTCTCAGTTATTTTCCATTAAGTATAATATTAGCTGTTTGCTTTTCATATATGCCCTGAATCATTGAGGAACTTCTATTCCAATCTTCCTGAGGGTTTTCATCAAGAAAGCATGTTGGATTTTATCAAATGCTTTTTCTGTAGTCATAGAGATGATCATATGGTTCTTTTCTTTTGTTTTATTGATATGATTATTATATTGATTGATTTTTTTTTTTTTTTAAACATTGAACTATGCCTTCATTCCTGAAATAAATCCCACTTGATCATGATATAAGACTTATCATGTTGTTGGATTCTGTTCACTAGTATTTTGTTGAGCATTTTTGTATCTATATTCGTAAGGGATATCAGCCTGTAATTTTCTTTTCTTGTGGTATCTTTATCCTGTTCTGCTATCGAGGTTATGTTTGCTTCACAGAACAAATTAGGGAATATTCCTTCCTCTTTTATCTTTTGGAAGACTTTGAACAAGAGTACATGTCAGTTCTTTTCTAAATGTTTGGTAGAATACCCCAGTGAAGTCTTCTGTCTAGGACTTCTTTTCCTTGGGAGGTTTTTGATCACTGATTGAATTTTTTCACTTGTTATGGTCTGTTGAGACTTTATTTTGTCTTGAGTGAATTTATGTAGTTTGTGTATTTCTAAGAATTCATCCATTTCATCTGGGTTATCCAGTTTGTTGTTGCACAGTTCATAATGTTCTATCATAATTCTTTTTATTTGTATCAGATCAGTTGTAATGTGTCCTCTTTAATTTTGGTTGTTTGCATCTTTTTCCCCCTTTTGTCAGTCTAGCTAAAAGATAATCGGTTTCTTTGATGTTTTCAAAGAACCACCTTCTGGTTTTGTTGATTTTCTCTATTGTTTTTCTGTTTCACATTTTGATCTTTGTTATTTCCTTTCTTCTGGAAGGTTTAGGTTTATAGTCCTATGTTCTTACTGTGATCTCTTTAGTGTGAGTTAATATAATCAAGATGGTATTCTCCAAAGAGTTTGCTTTGGGTGCAGTTACTAAACTTTTCCATACCTCCTGTTTATTTCTTGCAAAAGATCTGAAGTGGTAAGTGTTGAGGGGAAAGCAGGAGATGCAATTAAATGCTTAAGTCCAGGTAAGAAAGCCCTCTGCTACCATTCACTTTGAGTGTGCACCATGATGGCCAGGAAAGAATTCTGACTCCTATTTCATTGTTCTGGTCAAACTAACACATTTCGTGTGATATAAAAATCTTTTCAATATCTAACCAAGTTTATTAGGAAGGTGCTCTCCTCACTAGGGTATCTTGTTAATTGAGGTATCTCTATAATAATTTCTTTTCCAAATGCTCATTGCTTCAAGATTATCAGCCATTTAAAATAGTCTAGCAGTCCAGTATATCTTGTCAGCATGCCCATGGTCCTAGCAGGCAGACACTTGGGAACAAATATGCTAAGTCACAACTGTAAAATTTCATATGTTGTGTGTTAGATTATTGGGAAAGTCTATTCCTCATTTACCATACCCTCCTGTAAAAACTGCGAGGAGGCCACATGTTCTGACCTCCTCTAATCTCACAAGAGGAAGACAGCAGTAACCCAAGGCCTATTACTGAAAGGCCAAACATGCTGCCTCCCTCCAGCCCTTTCACCAACCGTTCCTCCCAAAGCACCCACCACCTCTCTCCTGGGTTCGATAATTCACTGCAGTGGCCACACAGAACTCACAGATTACAGGGTTTATTAGGGAAGCACCAGGCTACAACTCAAGTTCAGGAAGAACACTCAGTCTCTCTCCCAGCCCACCGTCCCTCAGCCAAGAGTCTCTCACAGTCTCTTTCCGGGGTGCGTGTCTCTTGTGTCTCTTTCCCAGCAACGCATGTCTCAGGAGCCCGTGTCTCTTTCAGCAGCAAGTCTTCCTCGACCAGCAGTCCGAGAGAGTTCTGCTTCCAGGAGGCCTCCTTTTGAGCCCGGCAGGGTGGTCAGACTAGCCAATTATAGCATCAGAACTCTAAGCACCTGAGAGAGAGTGGGCACCTCCCAGAACATTGTTTTGTGCCTCTCCCAACAGAAATATTCCAGGTGGACACCTTCAGCAATCAGGAGCTCCTCACTTGCTCATAGAAAATCCCACCTTGGAGTTTACAAAGACTTATGGGTAGAAAAGCCACACAAAGTAATTTACTACACTGCACCTCCTCAATCAAGAAA